CTTTCTTTGGTATTGAAACGACCACTTTAGCAAGACATCCCCCACTCGTAAGTATTTATAGGAAAACTTTCTTCTTTTCCATAGCTCATAGGGAGTCTTTTCTATTTTCTTATGGGGTACCTTATTTAAAGGGTAATTTACTGATAACACAGCTTCGCCCTACATGTTATGAGGTAGCCCGGAACTTACTAGCACTATATTTATCATTTCCTTTAAAGTATAATTTTTCCGTTCAGCAACACCGTTTTGTTGCGGTGAAGAAAGTACAGTGGTTTCATGTATGATTCCGTGTTGTGCACAAAATTCAGTAAATGGAGCTCATACTCACCATCTCGATGGCTCCTTAGCACCTTAATTTTCTTATTAAATTGAGTTTCAATTTCATTCGTATAGAGAATAAATTTATCTATGACTTCATCTTTACTTTTTAGCAAATATACAAAAAAGTATTTAGTGCTATCGTCGTCAAAAGTAATGAAATACTTGTTGTCACCTCTTGTTTGTACAAATTTTAGGTCACATACGTCACTGTGAATTAAATTAAGTAATTCTGTGTTTCATTCAATTGATTTAAATGATAATCTTGTCGATTTTGTCTCAACACAAGTTTCACACTTATGTTTGGAATCAATAGGGAACTTGGGTTTGTAATTCAAGTTAATTAGTATTCGTAAAGTATCATAGTTAACATGTTCTATTCTACTATGTCACAAATCAGAAGACTCAAGCAAATAAGCAGAAGAATTTGCTTTATTCATTTTTAATTTAACAACCATTACATTCAACTTAAACATATCATTAGAAACATAACATTTTCCAAGAAACATTCTTTCAACAAATTGACTTTGTCTGACTCAAATACAATACGAAAATCATGCTTATTCAAAAGCGACCTGGACACTAGGTTCTTACAAATTTTCAACACATATAGCACATTGTTAAGAGTGAGCTCCTTTCCCATGGTAATCTTCAAAACCACTTTTCTTTGACCTTTGATTTCGGAAGTTGCTGAATTTCCCATAGACAACTTCTACTCGTTTTGAATTGCTTCGAACGCAGCAAACATCTCCTTATCAGAGCACACATGCCTTGTACCATCGGTGTCAATCCACCACTTTTTAGGGTTTAAACACACCATGTTCACTTCAGAAATGACGGCTGAGAGATTTAATTCCGACACATCTTATGCCATGTAGTCAACAATATTTGCTTCTTTCTTCTTCTTTAACAATCTACATTTCAAAGACTTGTGGCCTATTTTATCACAATTGAAGCATTTTCCTTGAAATTTCTTCTTAGAAATTTCACATTTCAGTCCTTGCTTGGTCCTTTTGCCACCGGGTGTCACAGACTTATTTTTGTAAGTCTTACTACTTTGACCAAACTCCACAACATTAACTTTAATCATATCAGGATTGAACCACTTCTTTTCAGAACTTTTGTTGCCTTCTTCAATTCGAAGTTTAACAATTAGTTCTTCGACGTTCATTTCCTTTTGTTTATGCTTTAAATAATTCTTGAAATCTTCTTATGCGGGGCCAATTTTTCAATAATTATTACCACTTGAAAAGTTTCATTTAAATCATCACTTTGGCATGAATTTCGTAAAGAATCACTTGGAGTTCTTGCACTTGATTGACAACTGTTTTGGAATCCACCATTTTATAGTCTAAGAATCAGTCGACAATGAACTTTTTAGCTCGGACATTCTCAATTTTATATTTTTGGTCCAACGACTCCCACAACTCATTAGCAGTTTTCATAGTACTATGCACATTGTATAGCGTATCTGCTAAGCTATTCATAATATAATTTCGGCAAAGAAAATCCGAATGGTTCCAAGCATCAAGTGCATTGATTGCTTAAACATCTCCCTCACCCTTATTGAGTTTTGAAGCAATCTTAGTCAAGAATCTCGTAAGATTCAAAGTGGTCAGATAAAATAACATTTTCTACTGCCACCTTTTGAAATTCAAGCATTGAATTTCTTCAATTTTTTCCATGATTAACCGGAACATTCACGGTATGGCCAGTTGTTGGAGCCATAGTTTGACTCATAATATAACTTGGCAATTTAGCCACAGTTTGAGTCACAACAGAGCTTGGCCCTTGAGCCACAGCAGAGCCCTCAACCTGATTTTCAGTAGGCACATTTTGAATCGTATCCATGCTGATCGATTCGGCTGCCATTTTTGAAAGTCAAACGAAAAAATTAGTTTCTAAAATTAACAGTATAAGAAACCAATTTTTTTCTTAAAAATTTGTTTTAAATTTGTTGGAATATGGTGGTGTTAATGAAATCGAATTATCACATACCGTATATGTAGTTTAGATACCAATTTTAAGCATACCGTATATGCAATAAACCATATATACAGCTTACCATATTTGCAGTCAACTTACCGTATATGCAGCTTACCGTATATGCTTTTAACCGTATTTGCACATATTGTTTTACCCATTTCATATATACTGTATTTTCACACACCGATTTTGCACATATCGAAATTTCAGATACATTTTTTTCTTCAAATTTATATTTTTAACATAAATAAAAATTAACGCAGATTAATTTCAATAAACAATATAAAGAGAACGATAACATATTAAAACTAAAACACATGAATAAATTGCAGAAATATTAAATAGTGGATAAACTTTCAACCTGATGCCTGTTCAAGCACAGTTTCCTTAAACATGATTTCGTCCCCTTACTGTAAGTGCTTGAGATTTAATATGAGCGTTTATCTCTCAAGATAAAACGGTAAAATTTGTAGAATTTGAGCAACACAGATACTACTCCGGCGAATTGACTAGCATCCAAACAATATCACCACAATAACGATGATGAACAGAAATCGAGATGCAGACAAAAAAATATGCAAAATGTTTTTCTCCTATTTTTGTGTGTGTTCTGGAATTGCTGGAGAATGAGAACTTATATAGACTAATCTGTCATTAACTCTATGACAATAAATATTAGAGTCACTTCAGTTTCTGGGAGTTTTGGGAGTTTCAGAAACTCAAAAGTCAGTGGAGAAAGCAAGAAAAAAATTGCAAAACGTGGACACTCCAAACGGGCCAATTTTTGCTTCGATCGGTCCAACATTCGTGTATGCAGGTCGCGCCCGCACACAAGTTCAAAGTCCGAAGGTATTTCGGTCCATAATTTGCACCCCTCTACGCGCCCACGTGGAGAGAGCCTCTATTCTACACATGATTATACCATTCCAATGTGCAACTATATTTAAAGTGGTTCTTGCTTTCATATTTTTCCTATGTGGGACAAACTCATTTTTTCCACATAAACCATCTTTCAATGGTCAATTTTGAACTCCAATTTCTCATTACCCGAGCTTCATTTTTGGCAAATAAATATATGATTTCGATACTCTCATAGAGGAGAACATGTACGAACTTTGATCTTCCAAATTGGACCAACAGGTCCTACCGAAAATTTTGCTAAAAGTGAGCCATTTACCCATATTTTCCAACACTTTCATGGTCGCTCATCTTTGTGTTGCTCAACCAGATCACGACAATGTTCATTTTCCAACGGCGAAGCAGTTGAGACGAATCTGTAAAGGAACATTATTTTGACGAAAAGTAATAAGGATTTCAATTTCACAAACAGGTTTCCTTCTCAACTTTGTCAATTGGTTAATCACATTATGAAGCTACTGCTATGGGAAGAGTAGGCATCTTCAATATGTTCAGTGCAAGCAGATGCCTGCACTGGGCCTGGGCTCGTCCCTAATAGTGACATGGATTGAAGTGGGTGGTGTAAATGTAATGGATGAAGATGGTGGTTGTGTTTAGCAGGAGGTGCAGTTTGGTGTTTGAAGAAGATGATGACGGTGGGAGTTGTTGATCTAAGGGTTTGCCATTGCTTTTAAGATAGAGTAGACTTTCTAGGTTGAGGAGCGGCAAAAACTTGAAGTATTTCCCATGTTTAGTTCTAATACCATATAAAAATTTGGATTCCATCTTAAAATGTCAACTTTATTAGGAGGATTAGTCCAAATCCTTATAAGTTGGTCTATGTTTTCATCTTTATACGATATAGATTTTTATCCCTTAACGTGCCCCTCGCAAGATGAAAGCTCGTTTGAGTAAGCCAATTTTGAAATCTATGTGATCATTTGTTAAATCTCAATTGAATCAAATTACTCGTTAAAACTTAGTGAACTTTGATACCTAATTTGATTTAGAGTCAATCGAAAAGTATTGTATTCAATAGAAAATAACCATAGCAAGTAATAGGAAGAAGCGGAAGAATAAGGCAACAAGAAAGTGGGAAGAATCCGATAAGATGGGGAGAAATTGGAGAAGAAACAAAAATTCGGGAGCAGAGAACTTGGGTAACCAGCCAAGTAATTCAATTCTTCAATTCATTTGATCATCGTCTGTTCTTCCATGTTTACCTTAAAAGACAAATACAAAGGAAAATAAGCAAACCTAGAGAGAAAGAGACTATGGGTCAAACCCAATCTACAAGCCCAATTAAAATTAATAAAGCATAAACAAAGATAGCCCAATAGTAGGAGCCCAATAGTAGGTGACATTCTCATCAATGAGTAATTATGCAGTAAGAAAGACTGGGGAAACAAATCCTTAAAACTTTTTAAAAGAATAGTTTTTGTACCATCACTAATTTAATCCTTAAAAAACTCCCTATATATTGGGAATACGGTGGGAGGTGGTTAACATCCATAAAAGATTAGGAACATTTAGCCCTTGTTTGGCTCCATTTTTTCAAATTATAATAACAAGAATAATAATTTTTTAAAGAAAGTGTAGTTAAAAAAATAAAAATAAAAATAAAAAACTTTTTAAATCTACATGTAATATTATTTTATTGGAGAATATATGATTGATAAAAAGAGAAAAAAATGAATTTTAATTTAATAGGAGCCAAACATATGCTAAAATGGAATTGAGATAATTATGATAATTACGTTTTTTTACGTTCTTTTCACAATTTCATTAACTTCTAACTGTGAAAACAAGGTGGCTATTTTCATTACCCTGCAGCATCATGAGCTGATAAAATCACTTTTTTAAGAGTTCATATTTCAACAGCAACCCACAATTCATTTTCCTCACACAGTACACAATATTATACAGAGTACACGAGACGAGTGCACAAATTCAGGAGCCATTTTTGGCACTATTTTACAGGTCGAGGCTAATTCTTGAACTTCTGTACCTATGCCTCCTATGATCTTATTGAGATGAAGTGAGTTTGACCGAGTTTTATGCAATGATACATTGGAGATAAATAGGTTTAAGATTCTACCGAGCATAATTACACAAGTAATAGTTTCAAGCTGGGACAGGTTCAGGGACTCTGCCATTCTCAGACAGAGCCAAACTGTCGTAATAATCGACCAAAACTTTCCAACCACCTGGGCACATGAATCCATCCGGAGGATTCTCCCCATTCTTCGCAAGTGTTCGCATCTAGAAAAGTGGAATAAACAAAATGCCAGTGAGAATTAAAATCCCTTTGGCTAAGCTACTGCTACCATAAAGTATAAGCAAAAGGGAGCCGATCAAAACTGTTAATAATAAAATTACCTTGGTACCAGATATGAACAGAAAATCTTTAGTCCTTGATGGATCAAAGAATGCCATTTTACCCTGAGTCTTGTCATAAGCTGCAACCTGGAGTTCGTCCATAATAACTAATTAATATTCAAGATTTCCATTTTCCGATGTCATGGCAGTGAATTTTTTCTTTCGATTTCTATAGGAAGAGAATACTTGAGATGTTAGTCATCAAGTGAACCCATAATAAGAACATCATGAATGTGACAACGCTGAGGATCATTTTTCTACCTTGAATGGAAGAATGTTGAGCCGCTCTAATCCGGGAGCCATACTCAGCACCATCTTACCATGATCTGCATCATACAGATCTCTTTTCTCAAGTGGGTGGCTCATGCCAGCAGGGTCCCGGCCTACGATATAGAAGTTTGCACCTGCATTAATTCTAGCCTTAGCATGCCACTGTACCTCAGTTGGGCCCGCATAGTGCATGGGAGATGGGAATATAGAAACTACCGTAGTCTCTGGATCAAGAATGCCATCCTCAAGCACCTAAAAGAACAGTTAAAATAAATAATCAGTATGTAATAGAAAATACTTTCTATTGTACCAGATCATACAACAAATTTGCATCGCGGGGAGCAGGGTCCCGGCCTACGATATAGAAGTTTGCACCTGCATTAATTCTAGCCTTAGCATGCCACTGTACCTCAGTTGGGCCCGCATAGTGCATGGGAGATGGGAATATAGAAACTACCGTAGTCTCTGGATCAAGAATGCCATCCTCAAGCACCTAAAAGAACAGTTAAAATAAATAATCAGTATGTAATAGAAAATACTTTCTATTGTACCAGATCATACAACAAATTTGCATCGCGGGCATTCTATAAGTTTGACATATGTTGTCAATTTAAAGGAAAATATTGCATAAAAGCACATCATGAACAATCTGCTAATGAAAATCAACATTGAAATAGCTATGCTCAAAAGTTCACGTACACATATTTACTTATAATAAATAAGTTGAAAAATTAAAAAAAATAATGTTTCTCTTCATCTAAATTAAGCTTTAAACTTTTTAAAATGTAACCTTTTTAAAGTTATCAAAGTGTCCAATCATATTAGGGACAAACAGTTGATTTTACTCATTTCCTAGGCAAGCCCTAAATGGAACTTCGGGATACAAGAACGAATCACGTCATGATCAGCAACAGTTCTAACATTGTACCAAAATATACTTTTGTCCCACAATATTACTTCTTTTTTCAGCATGACACTGTTTGACCCGATGTAAAAATTAATTAGCTCAAATTCTTAATAGTTGTAAAAGGAATATGAAGAGAAAGCACACAAAAAAGGAAAATGCAAAAAGATTGGCTCCCCATTGCTAGGTAGATAGTAACATATTTAAGAGGTCACGTACCTTCTCATGTTGCTTCATTCGCCAACAAAGTGATACATCATCTGCTTTTGTATAACCTCCCAATGGATGAAGCAAGAGGACCGGATTCTTATATCCCATCTCCAGAAGACGACTGCGCGTGTCAGTCATCAATAGAGCATGCCCATTGTGCACAGGATTTCTGAGCTGGAAGGCAAACACAGCATCTGCGTTGCGCCTCACAAACTCGTCACGGAGCTGTGAAGGGGAAAGCCGGAAGTGATCAAGACCATCATTATACTTGATGGGTTCTATAACCTCTAAATCACCACCAATCAGCCAGTTTCCAGCAGCGCTAATAGCTTCCTCGACATAAGGTAAACCGGGTGCTGTAGTACCCCAGGTTCTTGCTATTCTTTCTTCTTTGTTATGCTTGTAAATTTCAATGCTACATTAACAATTAGATTTAAGAAGATCAATAAAATACTTGATGAGAAACTGTGGTACGTATATCTATGTAGTAAAGCAAAAATAATAATAATAATAATAATAATAATAATAATAATAATAATAATAATAATAATAATATGATTAGGAGCACAACCTACATGTCTAAAGAAAATGATAAGTGAAAATTAATCTACAGCCAAAATATCGTAGATGATGGTAAAGGAGTCCTACGGAAGCTACCTGAAAAACTAATCAAAAACCATTGTACATAATTGTGTCAGCTCTGTTTCTCGATTACAAACTACAGATGAATTTTACTTTTTCATGAAAAGCAAATTATTGGTCATGTACCAAAAGATGACGTGAACAATTGTTTTCGAAATAACTGGTACTCTTCTATAATCCAATCTTAATAATTTCCTTATTCAAGTATAGAGTCAATGGAAGTTAAAGTATCCATGGGTTTTGTAAAGGGGTCAACATTTGCATGTAGTCAATCATATATGCATAGGATGTCAATATTATTACATGATCATGCTGGTATACCATTCCAATGAATTTGGAAATCAACTAATCTATTCGCTCAAAAATGTCTTAAACACCCTTGGTCTCGCAATCAGATGCAAGTTGACTTTCAAATCATAGTAAAACCCCGTTTATTTCCCATTTTTGTAAAAATGAGAATGAAACATATAGCCGTTATGAGTCCTATACAAAATATAGAAATTCAAATTTGGTGGCTTGATGTGATGGATAACGGTTATATTTTTCATTTTAATGAGGAGAAAATGGGAAACAAACAGGGCTAAATCTCCAATCATTTATCTTTTTTCATTTTACAAATGTGGGACCTTGCCCTTGGAAATAATCATTTGAATAAGAATTGCAAGCTCCACCATCTTATCCAACCAGAGGATTAAACCTTGGAATATTACACTCTCGAAACACCAATTCCGGAAATTATTCAAGCAGCATATCATATGAAATCACCAACTAAATCGAAATTATTGCATGACTGTAGAATTATCAGTTTTACACGTCAGCACAACTTGAGCAAGAAACTCTGCAATAGCTATGAAGATACAATTAGGCTGCAAAAAGAGTTAAAATAAATCAAAATTTCTAGCTAATTCCATGAGAAGCCATAATTTAAAACTAACTAATAAGAAACATTTCAGTTTGATAGGGAAAAACATAATTAAAAATTAAAAAATTAAAAATTCAGCGCATTCAATGTATATCAAGTTCTAAAACTAAAATTTCACGCCAGGACAGGCAACCCCTTCTTAACAATTACAAATTATCTATATCTAATACCGATCAAGAAGATATTCATTAGCATTAAAATTCATAGTAACTCCATATATAAATAAAAAGACTCGTAACAGAAATAATTCATCACTCAGAGAAGCATAATTCCATCACAAGTGCATCGTTCACATAATTAATCACTTAAAAACTCAATAGAATTCAGCCAACAAATTTCCATAGAAAAATTAGAGAAAATTATCTTACTCGTTCAAGATAGCAACGAGGTTGTCATTCTGATCCACAAGCGCAACGCTGGTGGACGACCCGATCCGACCCTTCTGGACATCATCAATGGCCAGAACGATCGCGACCGACATGTTGACAACCGACCCGTCATTGAGTCGGAGCGAGTTAAAATGAAGCGTTTGGAGGAACTCAGACTCTCTCATGAACCCCTTCAATGGGCTGGCCCAGCCCTCGCTGAGCACATGGACCCATTGAAGGTCAATCTTGGAGAGTTTGATCTGAGGCAAGCCCATGGCCTGCTTCAATTTCGAATCCTTCTCAGATTCTCGAACAAAAAGCTCGACAAGTCGGCCTCCATCCGGGTCAATCAGAGAGGCAGAAATCTTGGTACCAGATCGGGTTCTGGCGGTGGAGTGGTGGTGGAGGGGGAGGAGTAAGGGTGGAGGGAGGTGGGATTTGGGCAGTTTTGGGTAAGAGACGGAGGAAGGAGTGGCTATGTTAAGGAAAAGCGCCATGGCTGCCATTTGGAGCGGCAGAAGAGATTTCTGTCTTTTTATTTCGTTGGTGGGTTGGTTTGAAGGAATTATATATTATTTGGAGGGAGAGCGTGTGAATGAGAGAGAAAAGGATATTTTGGGAATAACAAAATTAAGAAAAACAAAATTTAAGAAAGTGGGAATATTAAAGGAACAAAATTTGTCCTTAGTGTGAAAGATTATAAGGAAAATTGAGAATTAAAATTGTGGTAGAGGGACTTTTGGGAAAGAAAATTGTAGTGAGGGGTATTCTGGGAAAGAAATATTTGGGTGGAATTCCGGTGTTGGATTTATGTGGGGGTCTCCAGTGGAGTGTAAAATTTGGGAGGATGAACCTGGACAATGTTTTATGAGATAATTGATTGGGGCACTCCCAAATTAAATTATTTAGGCCCTGTTCTCTTTACTGTTTTCGGGCCGTTTTCTGTTTTCGATTTTTCAAAACGATGAAAACGTGTTCTCTTTCCCGTTTTCGAAAACGAATTTTCGAAAACGAAAAAAAAATTTGTGAAGAAAACACAAAACGACTTTTTTTTTTGACATATGTTGTCAATTTAAAGGAAAATATTGCATAAAAGCACATCATGAACAATCTGCTAATGAAAATCAACATTGAAATAGCTATGCTCAAAAGTTCACGTACACATATTTACTTATAATAAATAAGTTGAAAAATTAAAAAAAATAATGTTTCTCTTCATCTAAATTAAGCTTTAAACTTTTTAAAATGTAACCTTTTTAAAGTTATCAAAGTGTCCAATCATATTAGGGACAAACAGTTGATTTTACTCATTTCCTAGGCAAGCCCTAAATGGAACTTCGGGATACAAGAACGAATCACGTCATGATCAGCAACAGTTCTAACATTGTACCAAAATATACTTTTGTCCCACAATATTACTTCTTTTTTCAGCATGACACTGTTTGACCCGATGTAAAAATTAATTAGCTCAAATTCTTAATAGTTGTAAAAGGAATATGAAGAGAAAGCACACAAAAAAGGAAAATGCAAAAAGATTGGCTCCCCATTGCTAGGTAGATAGTAACATATTTAAGAGGTCACGTACCTTCTCATGTTGCTTCATTCGCCAACAAAGTGGTACATCATCTGCTTTTGTATAACCTCCCAATGGATGAAGCAAGAGGACCGGATTCTTATATCCCATCTCCAGAAGACGACTGCGCGTGTCAGTCATCAATAGAGCATGCCCATTGTGCACAGGATTTCTGAGCTGGAAGGCAAACACAGCATCTGCGTTGCGCCTCACAAACTCGTCACGGAGCTGTGAAGGGGAAAGCCGGAAGTGATCAAGACCATCATTATACTTGATGGGTTCTATAACCTCTAAATCACCACCAATCAGCCAGTTTCCAGCAGCGCTAATAGCTTCCTCGACATAAGGTAAACCGGGTGCTGTAGTACCCCAGGTTCTTGCTATTCTTTCTTCTTTGTTATGCTTGTAAATTTCAATGCTACATTAACAATTAGATTTAAGAAGATCAATAAAATACTTGATGAGAAACTGTGGTACGTATATCTATGTAGTAAAGCAAAAATAATAATAATAATAATAATAATAATAATAATAATAATAATAATAATAATAATAATAAAGGTAAACCGGGTGCTGTAGTACCCCAGGTTCTTGCTATTCTTTCTTCTTTGTTATGCTTGTAAATTTCAATGCTACATTAACAATTAGATTTAAGAAGATCAATAAAATACTTGATGAGAAACTGTGGTACGTATATCTATGTAGTAAAGCAAAAATAATAATAATAATAATAATAATAATAATAATAATAATAATAATAATAATAATAATATGATTAGGAGCACAACCTACATGTCTAAAGAAAATGATAAGTGAAAATTAATCTACAGCCAAAATATCGTAGATGATGGTAAAGGAGTCCTACGGAAGCTACCTGAAAAACTAATCAAAAACCATTGTACATAATTGTGTCAGCTCTGTTTCTCGATTACAAACTACAGATGAATTTTACTTTTTCATGAAAAGCAAATTATTGGTCATGTACCAAAAGATGACGTGAACAATTGTTTTCGAAATAACTGGTACTCTTCTATAATCCAATCTTAATAATTTCCTTATTCAAGTATAGAGTCAATGGAAGTTAAAGTATCCATGGGTTTTGTAAAGGGGTCAACATTTGCATGTAGTCAATCATATATGCATAGGATGTCAATATTATTACATGATCATGCTGGTATACCATTCCAATGAATTTGGAAATCAACTAATCTATTCGCTCAAAAATGTCTTAAACACCCTTGGTCTCGCAATCAGATGCAAGTTGACTTTCAAATCATAGTAAAACCCCGTTTATTTCCCATTTTTGTAAAAATGAGAATGAAACATATAGCCGTTATGAGTCCTATACAAAATATAGAAATTCAAATTTGGTGGCTTGATGTGATGGATAACGGTTATATTTTTCATTTTAATGAGGAGAAAATGGGAAACAAACAGGGCTAAATCTCCAATCATTTATCTTTTTTCATTTTACAAATGTGGGACCTTGCCCTTGGAAATAATCATTTGAATAAGAATTGCAAGCTCCACCATCTTATCCAACCAGAGGATTAAACCTTGGAATATTACACTCTCGAAACACCAATTCCGGAAATTATTCAAGCAGCATATCATATGAAATCACCAACTAAATCGAAATTATTGCATGACTGTAGAATTATCAGTTTTACACGTCAGCACAACTTGAGCAAGAAACTCTGCAATAGCTATGAAGATACAATTAGGCTGCAAAAAGAGTTAAAATAAATCAAAATTTCTAGCTAATTCCATGATAAGCCATAATTTAAAACTAACTAATAAGAAACATTTCAGTTTGATAGGGAAAAACATAATTAAAAATTAAAAAATTAAAAATTCAGCGCATTCAATGTATATCAAGTTCTAAAACTAAAATTTCACGCCAGGACAGGCAACCCCTTCTTAACAATTACAAATTATCTATATCTAATACCGATCAAGAAGATATTCATTAGCATTAAAATTCATAGTAACTCCATATATAAATAAAAAGACTCGTAACAGAAATAATTCATCACTCAGAGAAGCATAATTCCATCACAAGTGCATCGTTCACATAATTAATCACTTAAAAACTCAATAGAATTCAGCCAACAAATTTCCATAGAAAAATTAGAGAAAATTATCTTACTCGTTCAAGATAGCAACGAGGTTGTCATTCTGATCCACAAGCGCAACGCTGGTGGACGACCCGATCCGACCCTTCTGGACATCATCAATGGCCAGAACGATCGCGACCGACATGTTGACAACCGACCCGTCATTGAGTCGGAGCGAGTTAAAATGAAGCGTTTGGAGGAACTCAGACTCTCTCATGAACCCCTTCAATGGGCTGGCCCAGCCCTCGCTGAGCACATGGACCCATTGAAGGTCAATCTTGGAGAGTTTGATCTGAGGCAAGCCCATGGCCTGCTTCAATTTCGAATCCTTCTCAGATTCTCGAACAAAAAGCTCGACAAGTCGGCCTCCATCCGGGTCAATCAGAGAGGCAGAAATCTTGGTACCAGATCGGGTTCTGGCGGTGGAGTGGTGGTGGAGGGGGAGGAGTAAGGGTGGAGGGAGGTGGGATTTGGGCAGTTTTGGGTAAGAGACGGAGGAAGGAGTGGCTATGTTAAGGAAAAGCGCCATGGCTGCCATTTGGAGCGGCAGAAGAGATTTCTGTCTTTTTATTTCGTTGGTGGGTTGGTTTGAAGGAATTATATATTATTTGGAGGGAGAGCGTGTGAATGAGAGAGAAAAGGATATTTTGGGAATAACAAAATTAAGAAAAACAAAATTTAAGAAAGTGGGAATATTAAAGGAACAAAATTTGTCCTTAGTGTGAAAGATTATAAGGAAAATTGAGAATTAAAATTGTGGTAGAGGGACTTTTGGGAAAGAAAATTGTAGTGAGGGGTATTCTGGGAAAGAAATATTTGGGTGGAATTCCGGTGTTGGATTTATGTGGGGGTCTCCAGTGGAGTGTAAAATTTGGGAGGATGAACCTGGACAATGTTTTATGAGATAATTGATTGGGGCACTCCCAAATTAAATTATTTAGGCCCTGTTCTCTTTACTGTTTTCGGGCCGTTTTCTGTTTTCGATTTTTCAAAACGGTGAAAACGTGTTCTCTTTCCCGTTTTCGAAAACGAATTTTCGAAAACGAAAAAAAAATTTGTGAAGAAAACACAAAACGACTTTTTTGTCGTTTTGGGCGTTTTCACTGTAAAACTTGAAAAAACTGAAAACGCGGGAAACACCTTTTTTTTTCGGAGGTAATATGGTGATTCTCAAAATTTCAAAAAAAAAAATTAAAAATTATATATATTTTTTTTTTCTTTTTTTTTGAGGTGATCTTGTGGTGATTCTCAAAATTTCAAAAAAAAAAAAAATTTCATTTTTTTTGTTTTGAGAAACTAACAAAAAGAACGCATTTTCAACAATTTCAAAACAAACACTCAAAACACAAAACTCAAAATGAATTTAAAACTCAACACAAAACTGAAATACAAAGAGAACACCCACTTAATGCTTAGAAGGGCAAATAATAATAAATAAATAAAAGCTCCTTGTACATTGTTTGTTGACTGTGTTTCAAAATTCATGATGTGGCGGGCGGGAAAACTCACTGAAAATGGGGGATATTGGTAGACTTGGCCCACATTTCTCCCATTTTTGACACAACCGAACCCTACATCCACATTGTCGTAATCTTCCTCCCGCACCCGAAATCCCCACCTAATACAATTGACTTGATGAAATTGATCGGCAGCGCCGTTGCGTACTGAATTTTGTGACTGGCAGCGAATTCAACGCGGGTTCATTGTCGTTCACACCCACACGAAATCGTCGTTTACGTCAACAAAAATGAGGTGCCGATTTCAAACTGAATATTTGTCGATTGGCTGCGCCCTGCCCATATAAATGAAACTTCGAGCAACCAACGAACCCCCAATAGCAATCGAAGGCAGAATGTCAGACCTCTCAGGTAAAAGGGTCGATTTTAGAAACCAAGATTCTCAGCTACATTCTTGACAACATCTGAATCGACAAAATATTATGCATGTGGCTACTGTTTTTGAAATAATTCATGTAAAATCATTATCTCAACCAATTTAATAGTTCAAACATTATCTTAGGTTTGTGGCAGTGTAGAGTGAATTCAACATCAGTTTAAGATTGATTTCAGCTTTGTTACTGTATGAACTTAAATATGAATGCATGCTTAAAATGTGCTGATTTATAGAACATACATGAACATTTTGCTTTTGCCAAAATGTTGAACTTGACTGTGAATTTGCTTATTGAGTTATGGCAGAGGGTCCGTAGTACACGAAGCACTGGAGTAATCCAGTAGCCGGGAAGGGGCCTAGAAGTGCGTAGGCACGAGTATCAAAGCTTCAGTACCAGCGTAAACGCCCCTTATGGGGAGGAAATACAATCGATTCCTCCATTTAAGTGGTTCTCGCTTCTCCTTGTTCCTAGGTAGTTCCCAATGTTTGGCACTTTCCATACTTTATGGGTGAAACGCACCACTTCTTGTTCATGGTCGGTAAGTGGTCAACCAGCGCTTAGTCACGTAATATGAGTAGACAACATGTATGAAACCATTTATGTGATCAATTTTTCAAGGTTTTAATTGGTTACTGAGAACCTGCAGTTTGGAAAGAGGTAAGCAGAAAGCATGACGGACAAAGGTAACTTCCATGCTTTTTCGAACTTTTAGTTCGCGAATGTCATAGTTTATTATTTTCCTGAACTTTTCATTGCCATATTGTAGTAGGAAAAGAAATTGTGATCGACTTGGATGACAAAGTTTTAGTAGAATCCAATAATGTGGACGTTACGGAGCATGTCATAGGTTTCGAAGAAGATATTGTTGCGGGAGATGGTGTGATTGTACCAGTGATGGCCATTTTTGTAAAAATGAGAATGAAACATATAGCCGTTATGAGTCCTATACAAAATATAGAAATTCAAATTTGGTGGCTTGATGTGATGGATAACGGTTATATTTTTCATTTTAATGAGGAGAAAATGGGAAACAAACAGGGCTAAATCTCCAATCATTTATCTTTTTTCATTTTACAAATGTGGGACCTTGCCCTTGGAAATAATCATTTGAATAAGAATTGCAAGCTCCACCATCTTATCCAACCAGAGGATTAAACCTTGGAATATTACACTCTCGAAACACCAATTCCGGAAATTATTCAAGCAGCATATCATATGAAATCACCAACTAAATCGAAATTATTGCATGACTGTAGAATTATCAGTTTTACACGTCAGCACAACTTGAGCAAGAAACTCTGCAATAGCTATGAAGATACAATTAGGCTGCAAAAAGAGTTAAAATAAATCAAAATTTCTAGCTAATTCCATGAGAAGCCATAATTTAAAACTAACTAATAAGAAACATTTCAGTTTGATAGGGAAAAACATAATTAAAAATTAAAAAATTAAAAATTCAGCGCATTCAATGTATATCAAGTTCTAAAACTAAAATTTCACGCCAGGACAGGCAACCCCTTCTTAACAATTACAAATTATCTATATCTAATACCGATCAAGAAGATATTCATTAGCATTAAAATTCATAGTAACTCCATATATAAATAAAAAGACTCGTAACAGAAATAATTCATCACTCAGAGAAGCATAATTCCATCACAAGTGCATCGTTCACATAATTAATCACTTAAAAACTCAATAGAATTCAGCCAACAAATTTCCATAGAAAAATTAGAGAAAATTATCTTACTCGTTCAAGATAGCAACGAGGTTGTCATTCTGATCCACAAGCGCAACGCTGGTGGACGACCCGATCCGACCCTTCTGGACATCATCAATGGCCAGAACGATCGCGACCGACATGTTGACAACCGACCCGCATGATGTGGCGGGCGGGAAAACTCACTGAAAATGGGGGATATTGGTAGACTTGGCCCACATTTCTCCCATTTTTGACACAACCGAACCCTACATCCACATTGTCGTAATCTTCCTCCCGCACCCGAAATCCCCACCTAATACAATTGACTTGATGAAATTGATCGGCAGCGCCGTTGCGTACTGAATTTTGTGACTGGCAGCGAATTCAACGCGGGTTCATTGTCGTTCACACCCACACGAAATCGTCGTTTACGTCAACAAAAATGAGGTGCCGATTTCAAACTGAATATTTGTCGATTGGCTGCGCCCTGCCCATATAAATGAAACTTCGAGCAACCAACGAACCCCCAATAGCAATCGAAGGCAGAATGTCAGACCTCTCAGGTAAAAGGGTCGATTTCAGAAACCAAGATTCTCAGCTACATTCTTGACAACATCTGAATCGACAAAATATTATGCATGTGGCTACTGTTTTTGAAATAATTCATGTAAAATCATTATCTCAACCAATTTAATAGTTCAAACATTATCTTAGGTTTGTGGCAGTGTAGAGTGAATTCAACATCAGTTTAAGATTGATTTCAGCTTTGTTGCTGTATGAACTTAAATATGAATGCATGCTTAAAATGTGCTGATTTATAGAACATACATGAACATTTTGCTTTTGCCAAATTGTTGAACTTGACTGTGAATTTGCTTATTGAGTTATGGCAGAGGGTCCGTAGTATACGAAGCACTGGAGTAATCCAGTAGCCGGGAAGGGGCCTAGAAGTGCATAGGCACGAGTATCAAAGCTTCAGTACCAGCGTAAACGCCCCTTATGGGGAGGAAATACAATTGATTCCTCCATTTAAGTGGTTCTCGCTTCTCCTTGTTCCTAGGTAGTTCCCAATGTTTGGCACTTTCCATACTTTATGGGTAAAACGCACCACTTCTTGTTCATGGTCGGTAAGTGGTCAACCAGCGCTTAGTCACGTAATATGAGCAGACAACATGTATGAAACCATTTATGTGATCAATTTTTCAAGGTTTTAATTGGTTACTGAGAACCTGCAGTTTGGAAAGAGGTAAGCAGAAAGCATGACGGACAAAGGTAACTTCCATGCTTTTTCGAACTTTTAGTTTGCGAATGTCATAGTTTATTATTTTCCTGAACTTTTCATTGCCATATTGTAGTAGGAAAAGAAATTGTGATCGACTTGGATGACAAAGTTTTAGTAGAATCCAATAATGTGGACGTTACGGAGCATGTCATAGGTTTCGAAGAAGATATTGTTGCGGGAGATGGTGTGATTGTACCAGTGATGGGTATCAAGTTTAATAATTAGAAATAAGTCTTTGACTTTTACAAATGATATGTGTATGACGTTGATTTTCCGGTTAGAAAATGAAATTCCAAAAAGGAGGATGGTGTACTGAATTACCTTACGTTGACATGTAGCTAGCTGTGAGGGCCGAAGAAGCAATAATACAAGTGCCTCTTTGAAGCCACAACCAACATAATACTATAAATGAGTCTGGGGATGTCAACGAGCCGACTTGTGAGTCGAAACTTGAAGTTCAAACTCAATTTGAGTAAAAATGGCTCAGACTTTTTTGGTCCGAGCTGACGAGCTTTTGCTTGGATAAAAATCTAGAATACACCTAGGCTATGGGCTCGAATCCCTTTTTTAACAAAAAAATAAAATAAAATAAAAGGTATATAAAAGGTAACACATTGCTTGCAAAAGTTTGACTCGTACCTTAGCAAGCTTTTTATATGTGTATGTATATATATATGTACATATATACACATATGTACATGTACATATATGTAAATAGGTATATGTATATATGTACATATACATATGTATGTATGTGTGTATGTGCGCGCGCGCAACGTTTGTTGTCTTTTAGCTACTTTCACTTTTTGGCAGTTAAGGTAGCTGCTTGGCAAGGCAATCGTTCAACTGCCAGATTTTATTTGTTTTAAATAACTTTTTTATTGATTTTATTTATTATTTTTTTAAGCTCGACTTGTTACGCTTCAAAATGGGACTCGGCCCCAGCCTTACCTCGATTTCACCCAACCTTGAGCAGGTTAGTTTGAGCTTTTCCCTAATCTAGTAGTTGAGTCATGAGCTACCTAAATCGACGAGTCAAATTGACACCCTTAATTATTAGCTAAAGAAAATTTTGTGTTGTTTTATTTTTTATTGTTTAAACCTTATAATTACTCAGCAACTTTCTATGAAAACTGGTTTAAAATTCTTGTTTGGCTACAAGGGGTCGAAACGTGAGTTTGCAGTACGATGACAGTCACAATTGTGAGCACCAAACATGTTGCCTTGCACGCCGTGCCCATAGGGCACCACACGCACTCGCCCACGGCAACGTCTTACTTCGGTGCCCATATTTTGGTCCTCCTGTCGTGCGAACGAAGTACGAGACGATCCTAAGGCAACACAAGCTGCAAGGCACGAGCTTCGATCGATTGTTACGCAACCAGACCAGAAGGAGCGCATTCGCAAGAACTACGTTGCAACGTGCGTCTTATGTCTAGGCCAATCGACCGACACGTCGTGCAGTTTCGTCCCCATGCATGCCCTCCGCCCTACATCATCATGCTTTTCGACGGTCTCGTTTTCGGACAATTTTACGCCGCCCAATCAGACATTGGGAATATGTTTGTGTGGTTAATCAAGACGTGGTTGTTGTGCATGTGTGGTCGAGCTCCCATCGGTATTATTATTGATCAAGACAGGGCTATGCAAAATGCGATTAAAATAGTGTTTCCACATATGAAGCACAGGTGGTATTTGTGGTACAACTTTGGATACCATGTTGATAAGGCCTCTATCTTCTTGTCTATACACAACTTAGTTTATGATTCCCAGTTCGTCTCGGATTTTGAAGAAGGTTGGAGATTGATGATTGAGTCATATAATTTATATGACAATGACTGGTTGTCGGGCTTGTACGAGAATAGGAGTCGTTGGGTGTCATGCTATTTAAAAACTACTTTCTGGGCGGGCATGTAAACAACTGAATGCAGTGAGAGTATGATTGCATTTTTTGATGGGTATGTGCATTCAAAAACGACTTTGAAGCAATTTGTCGCATAGTACGAGCAAGCTCTGCGAAGTAAGGTTGAACAAGAGTTCCAAGCAGATTTCAAATCCTACTCGCAGATGGTCCCATGTGCAACCAAATATGAAATGGAAAGACAATTTCAATCAGTTTATACCATTGCCAAGTTCAAAGAAATCCTGAAGGAGATAATTGGGAAAGTGTACTGTGATGTCATAGCTACATTTGACGGGCATTTTGGGATGAACTACGAGGTCATTGAGGATATCATGGCCTCGTTTGGGAGGAATTTTGAGAATTGATTTTTTGATCGTTAGAAGAAAAGTGTGGTCCATATGTGAGAGAAGAAGTCAAAAATTACGGCTTGAATAGTAAAATAATGGTCAAAAAATCAATTTTTTGGGACAAAAAATCCCTCCCAAACAGGCCCCATATATGATGAACGTGCGACGAGGAAGAATTATTTGCTCTCATTTGAGGCAACGAATTGTGCAATTACTTGTAGCTGCCATTTATTTGAATTTCACGAAATATTGTGCAGACATGCAATATCAGTCTGAATGCGTAATCACATCACATCAATAGAGGAGATGGAGGAGAGATGTTAATCGAGCACACACGAGAGTCGCAGTTCACTACGCTGGTTTGGTCAGTATACCTGGGCAGTTTAGTGGACATATTGACATATTAAGTGGGGAAAATTGAATAAGGATATATTGGTAAAAGAACAAAATAAAATATTCTAAATTAGGAAACAAACCTATATATTTAGGACAAGAGAAAAATGAAACTCAGCCTATATAATTGGAACGAAGGGAGTAATACTATAAATGAGTCTGGGGATGTCAACGAGCCGACTTGTGAGTCGAAACTTGAAGTTCAAACTCAATTTGAGTAAAAATGGCTCAGACTTTTTTGGTCCGAGCTGACGAGCTTTTGCTTGGATAAAAATCTAGAATACACCTAGGCTATGGGCTCGAATCCCTTTTTTAACAAAAAAATAAAATAAAATAAAAGGTATATAAAAGGTAACACATTGCTTGCAAAAGTTTGACTCGTACCTTAGCAAGCTTTTTATATGTGTATGTATATATCTATGTACATATATACACATATGTACATGTACATATATGTAAATAGGTATATGTATATATGTACATATACATATGTATGTATGTGTGCGCGCGCAACGTTTGTTGTCTTTTAGCTACTTTCACTTTTTGGCAGTTAAGGTAGCTGCTTGGCAAGGCAATCGTTCAACTGCCAGATTTTATTTGTTTTAAATAACTTTTTTATTGATTTTATTTATTATTTTTTTAAGCTCGACTTGTTACGCTTCAAAATGGGACTCGGCCCCAGCCTTACCTCGATTTCACCCAACCTTGAGCAGGTTAGTTTGAGCTTTTCCCTAATCTAGTAGTTGAGTCATGAGCTACCTAAATCGACGAGTCAAATTGACACCCTTAATTATTAGCTAAAGAAAATTTTGTGTTGTTTTATTTTTTATTGTTTAAACCTTATAATTACTCAGCAACTTTCTATGAAAACTGGTTTAAAATTCTTGTTTGGCTTATAGAGATAGTGCAAAATAAAAACAAATAAAAAGTATAATGAAATTTATAATTTATCTCTACATAGAGAGACTTGATTGGTTTATATATAAATTGGAAGGAGAACGTGCGTATTAATTGTTGGAATTACCTATAAAAACAATTCAGAACTCAAAATCGATATCTCGGGTTAATGTGAAATAGTCAATGCAGTCTGTAAAATTGACAAGTACATGTTGCATGTCACTACAACAATCTTATAATAATGTTGACATAAGTCATTTTTGTCAATAATTTTCGCTCATCACAGTACTAACCTCCCATCCTAGTCTTCAAGGGA